CTGGGGTCGACTGTAATAGCAACAGATAAATTTTCCTCTTTAATAATAATTGATTTAGTTTAATGATTATCGAAATTAAGCATGTTTAAGCTGAATTAATTATAATTAATTTTTTAAAAAAATCATTATTATTCTTATATAAAATATAAGATTTATTCGAAATTTACATTACAATTTTTTCATTCATAAAAATAAAATGTATTATTTTTTTTCAGGTAGAAAGGGGGAAAAAATAAACTTATATACAAATAAAAGTTTAAGATTTTGCTTGTATTTTCCAGTAAAACATTCTAACAGATGAAAATACTTATTTTTAAAATACAATTTTATATGAGATTCTTCAAAAATTTAAAAGTGTTGTTTACATCCAGATCACAGTTACATCTCGCCCCCATCTTTTTTTTTTATGTGACAAAATGACAAGGATAGGATGAAGAAAATTTCCCATAGGGCACGTTCTATCTTCAAGGAACTTTTAGTGTTTATACTTATGTTACATAAAAAGACATACAAAAAGTTCTCTAAGGGCATAAATCATATAAAATATAATACTGCATTATTTATAGTGTACTTTTTACAATTTAAAAAACCAAAAAAAAAAAAAAATTTAATTAAATCAACAGATAAACTGAATTATTATTTTTGTATCTTCTTATTTTAAAATCTTATATAAAATAGATGAAGGAAGACTTGATCAAACTATATTTTATCTTTAAGATTTCTATCTATCATGTATATAGAAAGAAGAAAAAAAAAAGTAAATGAGATAAATGAGTTATGATCAAAGTTACAGCGAATCAACGAAAAACATTATTTAAAATAAAATAACATAAAAAAAACAAGGAATAAATTTTTAATTTAATAAAATATTTGTGTTCATTTAAAATTCCTTTTCTCATATTGTAATTTGAACCATTGATGCCATAAAAATATTATTTAGAAAGTAAATAAACGTAAATGTTAAAGCGACCGATTTTAATAAATGGAGCACGTTTCCACGTATTTTTACGTTTTTAAGCTTTAAAAAAAAAGATTGACTTAATAAAAAAAATATACACAATGTTCAAATATTGAAAAGTTTTGTTATTTTATAAACATTTCTTTACATTTTTTTTTTTTAATTTCTTTTTCTACATTGAATTCTTAAAGTAAAAGAATCATAGTCATCATGTACACTGTGTATCTGCAGGAAGCTATTTTACATTTTTAATATATTCTCATATTAAAATATAAAACAAACTTATCTAAATAAGAGTGCATTTACAAAATCTTTTTATTACTCTGTGTCTTGCTATCAGATTTTAATCAAACTTTTGGTATATTAATATTGTTGTATAGAATGTAGACGTTTTCCTGTTTATTTTTCTTAATATACTTGAAATATTACTAAGATTATATATATATAACTTTGAGAAACTTTTAACCAATAAAAATCGCAATTTTTTAAAGTAATTTATCACATGACATGAAGAAAATCTATTAAATGAGGCCTTATTAATAACACAATATTACTTTCTGAACTATAACTTATATGTACTGTAACAATTTTTTTTTTTATTTTTTATAATATATATTTGNGTATTACAGGCTTTCTAATGCATCGAATGCTTCACTCTGTCCATGCATTTGATGCAATAGAAATTACTTTATTGCACTGTACTGGAATTAAATTTAATATTTTAAGTCATTTGTGTATTATGTTCTTGCTTATCTTTTCAATATTATTATAATTTAATGCAATTGTAAAGAATTTGCCGTATTATCAGCTCTTCTTATTCAGTTTCATAAAATAGATATAATAAATTAAAATGTTTTTATAGTTAAAGGTAACTTTTGTTTTACAAGTCGACCCCCCTATAACACTGTTGATAATTCCGTTTTATATGAATTCCATGTTGTACGAGTCATTTAGATTTTACAAATACGTGAGCAGTTCACAGCCCGGCACACGTATTTGTAAAATCTAAGTGACTCGTACAACATGGAATTCATATAATACGGAATTATCAACAGTGTTATAGGGGGGGTCGACTGTAGTTAAAAATAATTTAGGAGTATTTTGATGGAGTTGGTATGACAAAGTCAATGTTCGACTTGTATTTTGATAATCACAAGTCCCTCTAATATTCTTTATAAATCATATTTGTCAAAAGTAATACACGCTGATTGACTTATGTTACCGTTTTATCATTCAAACTGCAGATGAACTGCCTTTCAGAATGAGAATTTCAGTTATAACTTCAACCTATTGATTCCTTTATATAATAAAAAGTGTGATCTATTTTGATTTATGATATAGAGAAAAATCAACCAGAACAAATCAGGAAAATTGTATGTATATATATATTTATAAATACAAAAATTTAAGTAATATTCTCAGCATTATTGCTTTTATAAATTGCATATATTAAAATTGAAATATGTAATTAACTAATTCTTTAGTCATTTTGAACATCAGGAGCAGAAAACAATAATTTTAATTTATAAAATTTGTTAATTATAATATGATTTATATTCACAATTATAAATTTTATACAGAATAACGTTGACAAATAAGATCTGGAGCATATTTTTTGAATTCATCGTAACAAGTTTTAAGCCATTCTGCTGTAGCCACAATTTTAAATCTAAATGCTTGATAACACGAGTCTTCTCTTATATCTTCAAAATAAAGTGAAAAAATATATATAAAAAAACTGCTTTTTTTTTAATGAAAACTCAAATACTTTAATGCTTACCGAGATAGGTAATGAGTTCGCCTAGTAAGGTCTCATCAAATCTGTGAAAAACACTATCTATTTCACCACTATTATCTTGAACGTATCTTACCATTTCCAAAATTTGTATAGCAACGTACTGTAAGCTTGAAATTGGAATTAAGTACGGATCGATATAATATTTATCTTGTAATACCAAAACATCGTGAAGATCTACAGAATCATCTGCAATCCTCATTATTACCAATCTTTCTAAACACTTTATACGCTAAAAAAATCAATATGTATATATAAATTATAAATAATTATTCAAACGAAAAAGAATTTATTAGATTAATTACTCGACTACGAGGGAGAGAAACAAAATAATCTTGCATATGTCCTCTATTCATCCATTTTACAAAAAACTTTTTTAACTCGTGTATGGTCTTCGCAAAAGCTCTTATTTCTGCCACAGCGTATGGATTTAATGGTTCCTCCTATAAAAAATACTATGTATATAAAAGAAACTTTTACACGAAAATATATATAGATTTGTTTAAAAACTTACTGAAGGATTTGATTTCACAATGAAATTCCTTGCTTGTTTTAAGTAATACGAATTCTTACGTTGGTCATATTCTAGGAAGGAAGAATTTTTTGTTTATAAAAATTTAAATAATTTATTCCAAATTGTTTTAATCTAGCATTTTTAAAAAAAATTATAGTTAATTTATTAAATAAAATTACAGTAAATAATAAGGCTCACTTCCAACTTTAATCACCATCATTCCTTTAGAAATACTTTGATCCATACGACAGAATTTACAACTATTTTCGTTTACACCGATTTTTATTAAGGGACAATTTCCACTATGAGAGCAAAAATAAATTTTTCTGTAAATGACAGTAGTTACAAAGAAATATTGACAATATTTGCATGCGTGTGCTCCATAATAATAGTTCCAAGCTGGTCTCAAACATACTACACAACGTAGATTCAAATTTCCAGCTATAAAAAAAAAAATAGGGGGATATTTAGGCCTATATATATAGGAAAATAAGGTGATAAATACTTTAAAAATATAATAATAAGAGTATTATTTATTACATCTTTGCATCATGCCACCTAAATATATTTGTAAACTTTTGAAATCAGCCATAGTCCAATATCTCGAATTCGTATCCTATTTAATATAATTATTAATTAATAAATATTATAGATCTTAATATAATAAAAAAAGAATATTCTTACTCGCTTTTTTTTAAAGAATAATCCACGTAAAAACAAAGATTATTAAGGTTAATGTAATAAACTTCACAGGTTGTCTTTTAAATTTACATATTTCGACTATAATGTATTTTCAATTAAAAGTTTTTTCATAACGAGAAAAATTATAATATAAACTAATAATAATTATTTTTAAAAAAACTATAAATATTTGCATTATTTATTAAATTTAAATAATCATTTTATTTTAATTATGTAAAATTTCATTTAAATTCACCTGATTATAATTAAAAGCTTAAGAGTATAGAAACAAATTCTTTTCTTTTATTATTAGTAATTACTAATACTGTAATATAATTAATTAATTAATTATAATTAAAAATTTCATTTTTTTTATTAACTTTAATTAATGTTATAACATTATATAGGGATAATACATCGTAATCTGATAGTCGTATGCTATGGTTAATGAGAGAGACGAACATCTCTAATCATAAAACAATCCATTATAACAGAGTAAACATCTTATTTATTATGATTGAAATTCTTTTTACATATATATTATGCAAATAAATGTACAGAAACATTAGATTTTACTCATAGTATTTACATCACATTACAGAAAGTAGCAACATTAAATACACGTGTTATATAATCAGAAATCACTAAAACATCGTTTATATTAATAATAACACAGGAACATGGCATAACACTTGACATCAGTATCAATAGAATATTGTATTTACATAATAACATTAATAAAAATCCGGTAAATTCTCTTAGATTTAATCTTTTCTTTATATAGATTTTTGATGGTAAAATCTCATAAAATATGATGATAAACATCTAAAATTATATATTAAAATTAAAGAAATGATTCTATTTATCGAATTAAAGCACATGTTTCTTCGTCATCGCATAGAGAATTTATTATAGTATGTAGTCATATAAATTTTTGATACCAAAATAGCTCCTTACGTTAAGTTGTTATTGTAACTTGTTCATTGATTGCAATTGCACACATAAATTGATAAACATATGTACTTGATACTAACTCAAAAACAAGTTATTAATCAAAATATCANATATATATATATATATAGAAACTCATAAAGTTAAGCTTATCAGAAAATATAGATTGAAATAAATATAAATCATATAAACTACCAGACGAATCTCTTAAATTTTGCTTATCTTTAAAACATAAATTCTTATAACTGGACGTTTACATCTAAAAATTTTGTGGTTCTCTCTATATTATACAAAAACTTCCTATAATTGAGCAAAAAATGTGGTCGTATACAATAAGAATAAGAATAACCAGAAGTAGCAATTCTTTCAGAAACTTGCAAGAATTTCGTCATATTACTTGACAGTTTTATTATTACTTTTTCAAACTCGATAATTTCTTTGATATATGTACAGAATAACAATTTAACATTATATCAGAATATATATATATATATATAATAGTCATTTTATGAGATAATTTAATATTATTAATAAGCGCATCAACTTTAGAAAACTAAGAAAACCGCATCATTAAGAGAAGAAACAGAAGAACTTATCATAAAAAAATGATTTAAAATGTATTAAATAATGCATGTAAGGATGCGAAATGGTTATTTTCATCCATTTGCATCAATAATTGAAAGGAGTGAAGAAAATATATCATTGACTCGAGAAATGAATTATTTACCATTAGATAACATTTAAGTAATGGCAAAATTGATTTCTTTTTACTCGACGTTTTATTGATCAAACCTTCTACTTTTCCTTTCTTTCTTTTTAAATAATTTGTAGTTATTTATATGTATATTATTTATTCTAAAATCTAAATGATAAATCATTCAATACAACATATAAGACACGAAGTAAATTCTTTCTACTAATGTAATTTGTATAAAAAAATATTGAAGACGAAAGTTAAATTAGAAAAGTGGAAATAAAATTTAAGTTAAATGCATTAAATGTTACAAATATATCATTTTTTATTATCGCGTATGTGAGATATTAAACACTTTTTTTTTAATTAAATTGAACAAACAGAAAGGAGAACTTTATAATTTAATGCATTCATGGAAAACAAGAGCTACCATTTTTAGTTTATTCACTCGAAAAAAACATAAAGTGTAAGAGAATATATCAGAGGAAAATGATACACTTTATAAAGAAATATAATTCATAAATCGTATTCTTCTTGGTATTTTTCATTTGTATGAATTCCCAGATGGATAATTTCAAAAATTCAAGAGTTTCTTTATTTCTTTTACGTCTATTCATTTTTTTTTCACCTCTCCTTTATATAATAAGTAAAAATACTTGTACTTCTGTAAAAGTTTTTACTACAAACTTTTAATTAATTATTAAAATTAATTAATTATTTTGATTTTTATAAGAGAAGTTTGCAAAAATGACAACATTCTGTCAATATTGTAGAAGATAGAAATCTATGGCAAGTGTTCTTATCTGAAGAGCTTCTACTCGTTGACAACATAAAGCCACTTCAAAAAATGAAGATAAAGTTTGAACAAGAAAGAACTAATTGTTGCTATCGATCTAGTAAAAAAAGAGGCAACGTTCATCAAACTATTGAGAACAACAAATCCTTAAGGTTGAATCATACTAATCGAGACAATGAGGAATAAAAGGATTTTCTATAATTGCTACGTTTCTTAAATACAAATGATAAATTACATTTAAATACTTACTAATACTATTATTTAGCGGTCGTGATAATTTAATTGGAGAATAAATAATGATAATTCCATTATGCCAATCTTGTATCTTCTCACTTCTATTTTAGTAAATCCCTTTACTATATATACACTTTTTCTTCTTCTTCTTCTTCTTCTTTTATAAGAAAAATATATATTTAAAAAACATTTTTAGAGCAGTTTTTTGTGACCTAAATCTATAAATATACAAGATTTAATAGTATGTTTCTGAAAGGAAATATTTCAAATCTCCTGTATAGTACTGTACCTTAAAACTTATTCTTATAACAACTGAATACGGTACATTAAATGTGTATTTTGCTATTTCGTTTTACGTTATTATAAGATAGAATTTTTTAACATTTTTTTTCCCTTTTAAATCTGGAAAGAATCCAGCAATTGTTTAAAATATTTCAATATAAAAAATTCAATAAAATAGTTTTTCTCTCATCCAACTTTCTTCATCCTTTTAATATACTTACTCGAATTGAATACATTATATAAATATAAGTTATTTAATTTAATTAAATTGATATATATATATTTATACGCATGTATATATAAAATTTTTCTTAATAAGATATACTAATTTATTATTATTTTTTTTCCTTGGTTTGTAATGGGAAGACAGCTATAGATGTTGTCAAAAAATTTCTACTCTATTTTTAAATTTATGTAGGCTACATTCATGTCCTACTATGTGCTCAATGTCTTGGAAGAAGTACAGTTGAAATATGATGTCATTTAAAGAAGTCAGAACATGTATTGTACTTATAGGCGCCATCTTGGAAACATATTGGTTCCTCATAAATAACGTACCATAGATGTTCTTAAAATAAATAAATAAATATATATATATATATATCATAATCACTGAATCACTGCAAAAATGATATAGAGCGAAATGGNTAACATTAATTTAATTATTATTATTATTCTTATTATTTTTAAATTAATTTTATCACGAATAAATTTATTAAATATTTTTGTCAACAGATGGAGACAGGATGCAGTATTGAGGCTAGCTTTGTTTTTTTTTTTAATGGTGTTAATAGGAATGAGAAAGGTTTATGGCAAAAAAGAAAATCGTTAATTGTTTTCACTGCTAATAAAATAAATTTTGCATCATTTTAGTAAAAATTACATAGAAAAAATCTTACGAATTTATTAAGATGATATCAGAGAGTAAATATATTAATCCTATAAAGGAGAAGAAGATTCCATCTGTAATTTAAAACTTCATTAATCTTTCTTCTAGATAAGACACGAGGAGGAGAGTTCGTGATTCTTGAGTGATGTTGTGTCATAGAAAAGTACATAGACAATCATTCAGTTATAAGATATTCATAGATGGATTCTATTCGATAAGAGCAACCATTCAATAAAGTGAAAGTTAAATAAATGTGATCTGTGTGCCAGATAAGTTAATTATAATTTTATAAAAATAATAAATTCGAATATACAATCGATAAAAATCAGCAAAATTCCTCATTGAAAGAGCGCTGTTTTCTTTTGAAGTTTTTCAAGATACCTTAAAGCTTTTGAAGAATTATTCATAAAAGAAATGATGAAAATAAATAAACTTTCGAATATTTATCTAAATTTACGCATTTGGACCGTTTCCAGTTCGGTAAAACAGCTGAAAATGCTCAGTCTAACACCGAAATCCATCACAATACACTTTATTATATGAAAAGTACTCGAGGACCGTTTATTTGAGAGGAAACGAAACAAGTGTGTGTGTGTATGTCCATTAAAACCCTTTCAGAAATATACGTAATTAAGATATATTATATATAACAGGTGAATTTGATTAGTTTAATGTATACTTTAACGGAACATATATATATATATATATAAAACAACACTAATTTTTATCTTTTCTAAGTTATTTTTAAGTTATTGTTATATTTTGTTATTACTTTTAAAAGAAGTGATTATATTTTTACTTAAGTTTTTTATGGATTTATTTTACTGATAATTGTTTTAAATATTTTAATGGAATTTTTTTACTTAATCTTTGTTATTAAAACTTATTTTTTTTTTAGCATTACACAAACTTAAAAGATATTATCTTACTCCATTCCTTTAAAAGTAATGTGTACTGTCGACATGAAAGTAAAATATTAAAGATATTTCAGCAGCGAAACAGTAGAAAACCGCTCGATTCTTTCTTTAGTCTCCATAGAATCAATTATTATTCGCTTCATTCATCTATATTAAAACTCAACAGATAGTAAGAGTAGTTACTGTCATGTTTATTAAGTAAATAAATAAATATATATATATATATATAGAGAGAGAGAGGAAAAAAACATGAAGAGTTCCTTAATTGTTACTACTAATAAAATAAATCCTGTAAATTCATATTTACTTAATAAACATGACATTAACTGCTCTTCCTAAGTATTTAAACGTTTATGACTTCTCATTATTTTATGGAAATTTGTTAAAGGAAAAATATATATTAAATAATACGTTAATTAAAATTTAATCCTTTGCATTTATATCTACCGATATAAGATAAGAAGATTTAGAAAATATACATTCAGTATACATTTTAATTAATTTATGGAAAATTTACTTTAAACTGCAAGCTGTAACGATTTTTCATTAACAACCCTTGGAGTTAGAATGATTCAGTAAGATTTCAAGAGCCCCAAACATTTACTTTCGTGTTAAAATTAATTCTATTAAAGGTTAACAATGTAAAGTAAGTTAAGAAATGATCCTTTTCTTAAACAAAAAAAAAATCACGGTAGCGTGTAAAATTCAATTGTGTTTGCATTGTTAGAAATTTAATATAATTTGGGACTCGAATAACGTTTTTTTTATTTTAAGCCTTTAATACTATTTTCAAAATTAATTAATTAATTTTTTTTATAGATAAAATTCAATTTTATATGTTAGATTTCTATGAAAAAAGTCGTAGAACATTGATAGACAGCATAAAATCAAAAAGAAAAGAAGACCAGGCACTGAGTATTCTTACCATACAGTTTTTCTTCTCCCAGTTTCAAGTCACGTTTACTAAATATTTCTTTTCTGTATTTCTTCAGCTTTAAGATACTTCAAACAGTCGATTCTATCGAACAAAAAAAAAAATCAATTTATAACTACTAAATATACCAAGTTCTTTAGTGAGTTTTTTTTTTTTACATTTAACATTAGAATACAAAATCAAAATTCAGATGTTAATGTATAATGTAGTTTAGCATATTTGATAAAATGCTTGTTATTCTCTGTTAGAGAATATATTCAGTAAAAGGTTTATTGCCCTTTACAATTGATACAATATTCTGCCATTTCAGTTTATTGCCATCTTAGGAATATTACAGAATATTCATTAATAGCGTATACTTAAAACAGGAGAGGTTAATTAATGGACGATGAAAATTAAATCAACAGAATGCTTAATAATTATTAACTTGTCTAAACATATCTTGATTTAATAAATAACTATTAATTTTCAATTCGATCTTTGTTAAGACAATGTTAAATTCTGTCTTTTGAAGTAATTTTCTCCTTGATTTATTTAATAGAAAAGTATTTTTCCTTTGTTTTCTATAATTAGTTCAACTACACAAAATTGTTCCTCTTTAGTAGATAATTTCAAAAGGATATTCGATAAAATTTAAATGTTAAATCTTTCTATGGATAAATTAAAATCAATTTAAAATTTATTTCTGTACTTTATAATTAATTTTAAACTATACATTACATTTTAATTTTATTCAAGAATCACTTTTCACGTCGTTAAGTTTGTATGTAATTTTATTATTCTCTGATCCTTTACACAAAGCTTTTATAATAAATTTCCTTGAATAGTTTTAAACATTCACGACATTTTTTTATTAACATTTCAATATATAAAATTTATCTTTCTGTTTGTCTCAGCAATTTTTTTTTTATATTTTAACATCTGTTTTTTACAAACTTTTATATATTTTATGATAAAGACTTATAGTTGATTCTTCAATAAAGTTTTTCTTTTATACATATTTAATTTTATTTTAGACATTCGAAGTGGTTCTACCTCTGAAGGTGTTAGATCACTCTCGAATTTGGAATAAATCAAAGAAGAAAACCCCATTCCATGGTCCAAAAGTGAGTGGATAAAACCATCGAACAATAGTAGTTGACCGCGAGTTCGTGCCTGATCAACGTGGAATTTTTCGGGTATTCTTCGTACATTTAACACCTAAATAGGGACCAATTTATATAGGGATGCACCTCCTCGACAGATCGTCCTTGTGTTGCCATCAGTCCAATTTATCTCGTTCCTCCCATTTATCCTATTGTAAGCTTGGTCAAACCTATGATGGGCATTGATAAAAGGCATTACTAAATGCTCGCAAAGAGAAGAGAATTTAAAAAAAGAAGGGTATATTTTGTACAGTTAAATCTACACACAGAAAAATATACCAGTCGACCCCCTATAACACTGTTGATTATTCCGTTTTATATGAATTCCATGTTGTACGAGTCACTTAGATTTTACGAATACGTGAGCCGTTCACAGCTCGGCACACGTATTTGTAAAATCTAAGTGACTCGTACAACATGGAATTCATATAAAACGGAAT